CATATTAAAAGACTAATTACTTTCACCCCAAACACTAATTAGTTGTAATTTTACATTTTTTAAATTTGCCACTATCCTAGGTTTTGTCCATTTGTCAGTAAGAATTTTTACTCATTTAAAACACAATAAAATTTAATATGCTTCCTTATTCTTTTATATATTTTAATATGTACAAGTCAGAATAAGCATGTTGTTTGAATTTTTACATAAATATTGTGTTACACTGAATGACAAAGTAACATTATTTCAACCAAATGTTGGCATTTTATTCTCCAAAAACTTATTTGAAACCTTAAAAGTAGACACTTTACTCGCATTTAATGTGCTTTCTATGGACATATAATCACTTTTGTAAATTTCTTTTGATGCGGACATCTTAACGTCTTTGACCCATGCATATACATCCACAAACAAAACCTTACAGCTATAAAGTATATGCATATGCATACGTAAGTATACCTGTATGTTATTTTGATGCTTTTTTGATGCCATGAAGCCGAACTCTTGAAAATGCACCCATTATAATCAGTGTGTACATGCGCTTCTTTTCAAAATCATGTTTTGTTTTTGTTTTTTAAAAAGATTGCCATTTTTATTCATAAAGAATGCATTCAATTTATCAAAAGTGACAGAAAAGACATTTATGATGTTATAAAATATTTATTTTCCAGTAAATGATCGATCATTCAAAAGTTTGGGGTTGATACATTTTTTTTTTTTTTTAAGTTTTCAAAATGTTATTTAGAGATCGGCCGATAATAGATTTTACTGATATTTTCCCCGATATTTAGGCATTTTTCCATATTTGGATATTATGGCACTTTACTGTCTTTTTGATCAATTTAATGGATCCTTTAATGAAAGTATAAATTTCTTGACATAACACACAGTTTCTGCCAATCTAATGTTAATCTTGAGTACCTATAGAGTAGCATTGCATCCTTAATATCTCCGAAGAGTCTTTAGTTTTATCAGATTTCTAAAGGCCAGATACAGCTTTACGCTTCTCTGAAAACAATTGAAAAAAAAATCAATGTTGACCATTTGTTTTCTGCACATTACTGCTCTTTCAGTAAAATGTCATATCTATTTTAGACCTCGTAATCTTTTCTTGTTTGCATAGCCGTTTCACTTGGAAATCCCTCACAATACAGAAGTAAAGTTGGTTGCAACTTCAGTTTCATGACAACTTTAAAACTTCAATGTATAAGAGGCATTGTAGACAGATTAAAAACATCTTAATTACAACCTAACCTAACTTGAAATTCACTATAGCATCTATAAAGACAGCCTTAATGCTTTCAATGTGGAACTAGCCACAGCTAGACAGAGTTTCTTCTCAAACCTTATAAACAGTAACTTAAACAACACTCGCACTCTTTTTGCTACTGTTGAGAGACTGACAAACCCCCCAAGTCAGATTCCCAGTGAAATGCTCTCCGACAGCAAATGCAATGAGTTTGCTTCCTTCTTTTCTGAAAAGATCAATAATATCAGGAAGGCGATTAGCACATCCTCAAGTTATGCAGAGGTCAGACAGATTCGACCGCAATATCAAAAAGAAGATACTATGTCTGCTTTTGAAGAAATTGATAGCAACATTTTGGAATAAAGCACTTTGAATTACCATTGTGTATGAAATGTGCTATATAAATAAACTTGCCTTGCCTTGCCTTGCCTAACCTGATTTTCAGAGGTTGGGCATTCACTTCATGCATCAGTGTTCGCTGATTTTGGAGCAGTGCTTGTGTTAAGAGTCCTTTTCTTCTCAATAGCAGTTTCTCAGCTGACACAGGCTCTTCTGAACTTAGCTCAGGCCTAAAACTGCGTGATTGGAGTTGTTTGTGTAGAATTAGATCTGTCATTAATTCAGACTATGATAAATGTTGTTCCAGGAGCGACAAAGGGATGTGTCCTGCATCAATTAAGCATTTGGTTAAAGCGAGGATCAAGGGCAAGAATGAAGTGTTATTTCAGGAGTGCGCATTAAAATGGCCATGTTTTATCATGAATATAAATGCATTATAATGTGAGTCTCAGGGAGGTGTTGGACTTCATTCTCCGTAACCCAGACACCGCAGAGCAATCAGGTCACACAGGTGCCTCGTGTTGAGCTCAAGGGAAAGCTCGAGGCGCCCGATAAAGACATGATTTATAAAAGGAGCTTCCTGCTACTTCTAAACTAGGTTAGATCTCTTTCGTGAGCGCGAGAGTTCACTATTGTTTATCAGTGTGAAATGTGTTCATTCATCCAAACAATGAAATAATAAACCGGCAGACGGTATTGTTCAGCGTTTATTATTATAACTACACATCTGGGAGCCCTAATAAAGACGTTTTTGTTCCTGAAAATGAACTTTTAGTGACTTTAAATATATTTTAGTCACTTGGGAGCTCCTTATTCCTTATTAGTTCATCCTAGTTTTCTCGTTTTTTTTGTTTGTTTGTTAGTTTTGTTGGTGTTGTTGTGTTTTTTTGTTTGTTTTCTGCATCCTGTAACTCCTCCAGGACGAAGGAATAGATGCAGAGAAATATATCTGTTGAATGGAAAATTCAGAGCATCGTCAGGAATCTGCACTTCTGTGAATGGATTTTGTTTAATTGAAACATTCTCAGTAAATCTTGATAAAGCAGCATGCACTGTTACTCTGTGAAATATACAGTTTATTATCATTTAGTTCATATCACTTCTTGACTTGCTACACATAGAATTATTTATATCAAATACAGTTTATTTTAATTTGTAATGTTATATTGTCGACAAATTTGACTAGCTTTATATAGATTTTTGTTTATTATTTATTTTTAAATATAAGGTTTATTTATTTTAATATTTAACATTACTTTTATAATAGCTATATATATGATCGTTTTTATTTTATTTTTATTTATTTTTAATTGTTATTTTATTTGTTTTTAAATAAATAGTTGAATTGTTAAAAATTTTTATATTGTGCTGAACAAAAAATTGGATAACCTGTTTTTAAATATATGGTTTATTTATTTATCATATTTTTATATATATTATTTTATATATTTTTTATAAATATATTATTTTTATATTGTCAACAAAAAATTGAATAGCTTTATACATTTTTATTTATTTTTACATTTTAATATAAGGTTTATTTATTTTAATTTGTAACATTTTCAAACTAGGTAAATATAAAGTCATTTTATGTATTTTTAAATATTTTTTTATTTTAATTGTTCACATTGCTTTTTTATATTGTGTCGAACAAAAAAAATGACTAGTTATATATAATATTTTAATCTATTTTTAATTATGTTTCACTTTTAATATTACATTGTCAACAAAAATTTGCCTTCTATTAAATTATTTCTTTTTTTTTAAATATAAGGGTTATTTGATTTTAATTAATAACATTAATTTTAAGCTAGCTAGATATAAAATCATATTTTTTATTTTTAAATAAATGTGTTGTTTATTTAAATTATTAACATTACTTTTTATATTGTGTTGACAAAAACTGACTAGCTATATACAATAGGTTTAGTCTATTTTTAAATATGGTTCATTTTCATTTCTAATAATATATTGACAAAAACTTGACTAGCTTAATATTAATATTTATAATATTTTTTAATTATTAATATTACTTTTTATGTTGTTTTGAACAAAAAGATGACTAGCTATATATAATATGTTTATCTATTTTTAAATGCATAGTTTATTTTACTTTTTAACCTTTACATTTAAACTAGCTATATATTAGTGTTTTATTTATTTTTGTGTGTGTTAATTCTGCTGTGTGAATGTGTGTGATTGTGAGTTGTAAAATGACAGTGTGTTTTCTGTGTGTGTTTCCGCAGGCGTGGAGGAGACATCATGGTGATCGAGGTGCAAGAGCAGGCGGGAGCGCTCAGGGCTCGTGTGATCGCCGTGTTGACGGCGCCTGGAGTGTCCGAGTACGGGTGCGTGTGTCAGCGGCCAGTCAAACATTAATAACCACACAGTGTCCACATACACCATTCCACACTGTTCGTGACACCGATCGCCTGTAGCAAGCAAACCAAAATCAGTGATGCCCTAAACAAGCCCAGACAGATTCTGCAGACGACTTCTGCATTGATTTTTGAGAGAGAAACTCTCAAAGCATGCTTTCTGCTAGATGAAAGACAATCATATCTTAATTTTAAAATATTTAAAGCTGCATGCATTTGCACCAAAATACGGTAGATGAATGGGTTCATCTAAAAGCTGAAATCGTTAGTTTGAAAAGAGAGATGGCTAAAATTAGCAGTTGTAGTTCAGTTCTTCATAAACCTGTTATATTTCATGCACACACACATCTGTGTCACAGCAGACACACGTCTCATAGGAGCCCAGCAGCTTCAAGTGAACACACATTAAAGTGTGCTCGTACGCCTTCATTTAGACTGCAGACAAAACCTTTGTAAATGTCTTTTACGAACACACGCCCTAAAGGTCTCAACTGAGTCAAATTAATTGCATTGATTCCTCAGGACACACAGATTTCTCATATGTGACCCTGGAGCACAAAAGCAGTCTTAAGTCGCTGGGGTATATTTGTAGCAATAGCCAAAATACATTGTATGGGTCAAAATGATAAATTTTTCTTTTATGCCAAAAATCATTAGGATATTAAGTAAAGATCATGTTCCATGAAGATATTTTGTAAATTTTATACCATAAATATATTAAAACTTAATTTTTGATTAGTAATATGCATTGCTAAGAACTTCATTTGGATAACTTTAAAGGCGATTTTCCTCAATATTTTGATTTTTTTTGCACCCTCAGATTCCAGATTTTGTCCTATCCTAACAAACCATACATCAATGGAAAGCTTATTTATTCAGCTTTCAGATGATGTATAAATCTCA